AAGAGACCCTCTGGTATCCCCAAAAATCCCATAGCAACGCCCTTAGAAACGGAGATGCAAAACATTGGCGATCTTCGGCAATCCCCGGTAATGACGTCATTCCCAGAATCAGGGGGAACTTTGTTGAACAGCGTGATACACACGATAGTGCACCGCGAGTCAAGAATATCACGGAATTGTCCCAATTTCTAGCTATAAACAATCTTAAAATAAAATAAAAAAAAAAAAATAAATAAAAAAAACATTTTCTCGGTTATGCAAAATAAGCAAAACCAGAAAAAATATATCATAGGAATTTTAATCAGTCATTTTATTTCGCCCTCTGTCTATGTCTATCTGTGTGTCTCTCATTTTCTGTGTGTGTGTGTGTGGATAGAGAGATGTGCGTCCCTCTCTTTTTCTTTACCTTTCCATTCACTTTTCCTGGTTCATTAAAATAATCTGCATTTGACACATTTTGTTTTCCTTTCTTTTCCATCCCTGACATTCTCTCTCTCTCTCTCTCTCTCTCTCTCTCTCTCTCTCTCTCTCTCTCTCTCTCTCTCTCTCTCTCTCTCTCTCTCTCTCTCTCTTCTCTCTTCTCTCTCTCTCTCTCTTTCACATGCTATCTCTATCTCTCTTACTCTTTATCGTATTCATTTTCATATTCATCCTTTTCCTTTTATCATTGTAATTACTACTACAACTTCATCAGTTTTTTTATCATCAATGGTTATCATAAATTGCTCAGAGAAGATAAAGTACGTAATAAACAAAATGATGAAGAGGTGTATATTGATGTCATCAGTACACGAATATATATACCAAATCCTTTCTGGATAATTATTTAAATAAGCGCTAGGTAGGCCTGTCTGTTAGGCCTAACACCAGGCACATATCAACAAAACATGATTAGGAACATGCTTTTTTTCTTACTTCCTCAAGAACGCTATCATCAGCTGATATCTGATCCAAAATGGTTTTATCTACATGGCGATGTACAGTTGTATTACTACACAAAGGTAGGGTAGGTACACCCCAAAAAGCACAACACAAATAAATACCGATGCCCCTCCACTCGCGAATGGATGTAGGCCTACGCCACGGGTGCAGACAAGAGATTGCTCAGCCTACGGAAATTTTGTACCATACAGAAGCGGGATCACACGTTCGGCCATAAAAAATATTTAGAAAGTCACCATTCATTCAATCTCTTCGGGTCTCGACGCCACTCCATGTCTGGCTGGTTTGGCACAACTTCCACGACATCCACAGCGTCGGGCTCGTGCATGTTCGGTCCAACAGCCATCAACCCTTGATATTCCTCTTCTTCTCCCAACTCTTCGAAGACGTAGGCACCCTCTGAAGAACTTATACCAATGTCCTCGTCGGAATAATCCTATGAAACTTCAATGCCGCTGTAGTCTTGTAGTGAGTCCGCCATGTACAATGTATTGAATGCAGAGAATGCTGTGATCGTGTTCTGGAATTGACGTCACACATCCGGGTTCCGGGATTTTCGCGGGAAAATACAACTTGACTTCGGAAAATCGAAATAAATCAATAAATTCTCAATTTTGGGGAATTATTTTCAGATTTCCTTTTTTACTGATATTAGAGATATGGTTTGCGAGCTAATTTTTCCTTATTTAAAATTTTCAGTTGATACTTCACATAAGCCCTTTAACTAATAAACAAATAGATGAATAAGAGACAAGAAAAAGCGGTTGAATAAGAAGAAAGAAGATAGATTGATAATAATACGAAGAATCCAGAAAAACAGAAAACATCCAAAGAAATAACAAATGGAAAGAAACAAAATGGCGAAATGAATTAGAAACCAAAAATAAAATATATAAACACACAAAAAAAAGTTAAACACGACACAGTCAAAAGACGAAGATTAACAAGGAACATAGTATATATATATATATATATATATATATATATATATATATATATATATATATATATATATGTATATATATATATTATATATCAGAAAAAATAGATAATCGAGAAGCAAAAAACTACATAAATACACGTCTAAAAAAACGAGAAACAAAACAAAGACAAAAAAAAAGGCCTAGAAAAAGACAAACAAGTTAACAAACATATATAAAACAAAACAAACCCCTTACACACAAAAAATTAAAAACATTAACAAGAAGACTCCAACACGACAACAGTAAACAACCCACCACCCCCCTCCCCACCCCTCTCCCCCACCCGTTACCCTGTGTCCGAAGGCTCGACTCGGCCACGCTCTCGACGTGCTTTCGACGCCGGTTCTGCAGATTCACGTAACTCCACAGGGACACGAACACCCTGTGGGAAGAAGGGCGTCGTCAGGTGAAAGAAGTAGAGGGATCTAAGGTCTTGTAAGAACCTTGGAGAGAGATGTGGATTCAAGATTTACGTTGGGGCTGGTAAGGTGTAATTCACAGCATATATCAGATGTAAATTTTATAAAAAGATGAATCTATCTATCTATCTATACCTATATCTATCTATCTATCTATCTATCTATATATATATATATATATATATATAATATACATACATACATACATATATATGTAATATAAATGTACATACATATATATATATATATAATATATATATATATATATATATATATATATATATATATATATATATGTATGTATATATATATATATATATATATATATATATATTATATGTGTGGTGTGTGTGTGTGTGTGTGTGTGTGTGTGTGTGTGTGTGTGTGTGTGTGTGTATGCGTGTATGCATATATTTATACATATATGTATATAAATATATATATGTGTGTGGTGTGTGTGAATTTATATATATGTATGTATACATACATACATATCTATCTATCTATCTATCTATCTATTTATATATATATATATATATATATATATATATATATATATATATATATATATATATATATATATATATATATATATATATATACACACATATATATACACACATATATACATATATATATATATATATATATATATATATATATATATATATATATATATATATATATATATATATATATATATATATATATATATATATATATATATATATATGTGTGTGTGTGTGTGTGTGTGTGTGTGTGTGTGTGTGTGTGTGTGTGTGTGTGTGTGTGTGTGTGTGTGTGTGTGTGTGTGTGTGTGTGTGTGTGTGTGTGTGTGTGTGTGTGTGTGTGTGTGTGTGTGTGTGTGTGTGTGTATGCATATATATATATATATATATATATATATATATATATATATATATATATATATTATATTGTATATATATGCATATATATATAAATATCTATATATATCTATATCTATCTATCTATCTATATATATATGTATATATATATATATATATATATATAATATGTATATATATTTTTTTCACCCTAGTTCTCATACTGATAATCAATAACAAAACATCGATTATTTTCATTATCAAAAACAAATAACACGAACATCAATACCAATCTTCACCACACTTAAAACAACTTAACTGGTCTTTGAGAAAACCGTACCTGGCGGGATTCCGAATGATCGTAACGGTGGGTACATTCCGGTACTTTTGTAAGTGTTTGATAAAGTGAGACTTCGTGGCTATGGTCGTTCCCCAGCCGTACTTGTGTCGTTCTCCCAAGTATCCTGCAAAAAGAATGAGGTAAAAGAGCGTGTTTATAGGTTGTTTGGCTCTTTTTTATCTTTCTATCTGTTTATCTCTTCTGTCTGTCTGTCTGTTTTTCTGTCTCTCTGTCTGTCTGTCGTCTTTTTCTGTCTCTCTCTGTCTGTCTGTCTCTCTCTCTCTCTCTCATTCTCTCTCTCTCTCTCTCTCTCTCTCTCTCTCTCTCTCTCTCTCTCTCTCTCTCTCTCTCTCTCTCTCTCTCTCTCTCTCTCTCTCTCTCTCTCTCTTCTCTCTCTCTTTCTCTCTCTCTTTCTCTATCTCCTTTTCCCTCTCTCCCTATCATTTTTTTCTTTGTCCCTTTTTCTTTCCCTATGTTTTTCTCTCCCCCTTTTCCTTCTCTTTCTTACTCTCTTTTCTAAGCATTAGTGCACTAGCGTCGACAATTTCAATAACCTTAGTCAAAATAGGGATACTAAGTTTTTCTTTGGTATTTAATGTTTTATGATTTATATGTTGGTACGAATCAATTTAGTCAGTAGTCAGTTTAATAGATATTTGGTGCTATATGGCTTCAAATTTCTATATCTTCCTTCCTCTTCCTCTTATTTTTCCCTCCTTTTTTTGGCTCTCCCAGCCCCTACCCACTCCACCCCTCCCAAACCCCATCCCTGCTACACCCCCATCCCTCCACCCCTCAACCCTCCCCCTTTCCAACTCCCTCCTCTCCCACTACCACTCCCCCCACCACCCTACTCCCCCCACCACCCCCACCTGCAGTCACGAGAGTCCTATCCGAGTACACAGAGCTGGTGAAGATCCCCGATGCAGCCTCCACGAGATACCGGACCCACGTGTTGCCAGACCGAGGGAAGGAGTGAAGGATGCTGCCTCTCAGACCGACGGCGAATCTCACGTCCATCCTGTGGAGGAGGAAGGAAGGGGGGAGGAGGAAGGAAGGAGGGAGGGAAGGAGGAAGGAGGGGGTGAGGGAGGAGGAGAGGAAGGAGGAGGGAGATGCAAGGAGGGGGAAGGAGGAGGAGGGAGGGGGAGGGAGGAGGAAGGGGAAGGAGGGAGAAAGGAAGGAGGAGGAGGAGGGAGATGCAAGGAGGAGGAAAGGAGGAAGGGAGGAGGAGGAGGAGGAGAGAGATGCAAGGAGGAAGGAGGAGGAGGAGGAGGGAGATGCAAGGAGGAGGAAGGAGGGAGGAGGATGCTTACTTAGTTGTTGTTTGTGGAGGTAAGTAGGGGTGATGGTGATGGTGATGATTATGGTGGTGGTGATGATGATGATGGTAGAAATAGTGAAGATAAGGACGATAGTGTTGATAATAAGAAGGACGAGATTACTGTCTTTATTAATGATGATAATAATGATAACGATGATAATGACAATGATATCGATGATGACGATGGTACTGGTAATAATAAGAATAAATTTGATGATAGTGGCAAAGATAAGGGTAATGTTAATAATAATAAAAAGGATAAGAGTAATGATATTAAACATAAAGATGAGGGTAATGATAATAATAATGATAAAGAGGTAATGATAACAATAAGGATTAATAATAATAAAGATAAGGGTAATGATGATAATAATGATAATAATAATCTTTATCTAAAGCTTAATTATTGCATTTTATTCGTTTCTTTTTTCACTATACCTCGAACAAAGCAAAATTTCATCGTCTGGCCAAAGAAGTCGAGCTGTTCCGTTGTTGTTTATTTCCACGTGTCTGTAGGGGGGGTTGGGGGGTCCGTCTGGTGGAGGGGAGGGGAGGGAGAGAGGAAGGGTGGGGGGGGAGGGATGGAAAGGAGGGAGGGGGAGGAAAGGGATGGAGGGGGAGGGTGGGATGGAAGGGAGGGTGGGATGGAAGGAGGGTGGGAGGGAGGGTGGATGGGATGGGATGGAGGGATGGAGAGGGAGGGAGGGGGGAAGGAGAGGGAGGAAGAGTGGGATGAAGGTAGGGAAGGGAGGAGTGAGAAGGGAGAGAGGGAGGAAGGGATAGAGGGAGAGAGAGAGGGGGGAGGAAAGGAATGAGGGTAAGAGGGTGGAGGGAGGAAGAGAAAAAAAAAATCACGATAACACGAACAATTATGCAGATCAACCTAGGTATAACAACATTAATGATAATCATAAGTCTTAATAAAGCTAATTAGAAAAAATATATATATAATAACAAAAGTAGTAATAATCATGTCTTAATAAAGATAAATAGAAAAAAATAAATATAATAACATCAGTAATAATAATCAAGTCTTATCAAAGCTAATTAGAACGAAAATAATAATAGTAATAATAATCATAGGTCTTAATAAAGCTAATTAGAAGGAAAAATATATAATAACTGTAATAATAACCATGTCATATTAAAGCTAATCAAAAAAAGAAAAAATATGATAATAGTAATAATAATCATAGGTTTTAATAAAGTTAATCAGAAAAAAATATATATAATAACAACAGTAATGATAATCAAAGGTCATAATAAAGTTAATTAGAAAAAAATATATCAGTAATAATCATCCTAAGTCTTAATAAAGTTAATCAGAAAGAGAAAAAATAAATTGATAACAGCAATAATTATGATTACGATAACAACATCAATTAATAATCATAAGAAAATGACAAAAATCATCACCATCATTATCACCATCAAATCCACCAAAAACTCGAGAAAAATCACCCCACAAAAAAAAAAAAAAAAATAATGATAATAAAAAAAAATGTCCAAAAAATCTCCCACCTTCACCTCGACCTTCCTCATATTCCTTCACTTTCTCGTCCTCGACCACCCCATCATCAACGTCCTCCTCGGCCAAGTAATCCTCGACTTCCCACGGTCTCCTGCCCTCGAGGACGACCTCCTGAAGCCGTTGGTTGAAGGGCGTGAGGTTGTCCTTCTTGGAGTGGAGGATTTTGACCGCCCAGAAGAAGATGACGAGGAGGACGAAGTGTTTCAGTGGGCGGAGTCGCGCCATTCTGCTGGGGGGTGGGGGGTGGGGATGGGGTGGGGGGTAGATGGAGAATCAATTTATTTATTTTTATTTTTATTCTTTGATGGGGTGGGGGGGGGTAGGTGGAGAATCAATTTATTTCTTTTTATTTATTTTTTTTGTGATAATGTGAATTTTGCTGTGGAAGGAAGGCGGAGAATCATTTTTTTTTTTTTTTTTGAATGATTAAATTAATAATAACAGTAGGAATAACAATGATAATGTTGGTGAGGGGAAGGCGGAGACATATATATATATATATTATATATATATATATATATATATATATATATATATATATATATATATATATATATATATATATAATATATATTATAAATATATGAAATTAATAATAACAGTAGGAATAACAATGATAATGATGGTGAGGGGAAGGCGGAGAATCAACTATTTTTTTTTTTTTTTTTTTTTGTGATAATGATGAAATTAATAATAACAGTAGGAATAGCAATGATAATGATGGTGATAATAACAACAATAATAATAAGAATGATAATGATGGTGATAATAACAAATAATAATAATGATAATGATTATGATAATGGTGATAATAATGATAATAGCAATAGTAATGATAATAGCAGTAGTAATAATAATGATAAGGATAATAGAAATAATAATAATGATGATGATAATAATGATATAATTAATCATAACAATTAGAATAGTAGTGATAATGATGATGATGATAACAACATTAATGATAAGAATGATAATGATAAGAATGATGATTTTAATCGCGATAATAAATATAATAATGATGGTAACGTTTATTTGATAATCCGTAATGATATTTTCATGATCATTATTTTCATAATAAGTATCATAATCATCATTATTATCATTATCATTATCATTGTCATTACTACTATCGCTGTTATTATAATTTTTCTTCATAATGATAATTGTAATAATAGTTGTGTTAATAACAATATTAATAGCAACAATAATATTTATTACTATCATTATAATTATCATTACTATAAATACTATCATCATTATTATCATCATAATCATTGGAATTATTATCAATATTATTATCATAAATATCAGTGCTACCACTGTTATAATCACTATTATCATCATTGTTATCATCATTGTTGTTATCATGGTTATCATTATCATCACTAATTATTACTATTGTTGTTATTGTCGTTATCATTATTTACATCATCATCATTTTTGTTATTATTAACATTGTTGTTGCTGTTGTTATTATAATGATTGTTACCATTACTACTATCATAATTATTATCATCATCATTGTTATAGTTATTATTATTGTTCTTCTTTTTGTTATCATTATCACCATCACCATAGCCACTATCATTATCATTATCATTATTTGTTATTAAATTTCTCAATATCATTTCTCATTATCATTATCATTACCATCATTTTCATTGTTATTATTGTAATTATTATTATCTGAATTGATATTATTACAACTATCATCATCATCATTATTATCATTATTGTTATTATCATCATCATCATTATTGTTGTTATCATCATCATCATCATTACTATTATCATCATTATTATTGCTATTATTATTATTATTATTATTATTATCATTATTTTTATTATCATCATTATTGTTGCTGCAGTTGTTGTTGTTGTTATCATTATCTTTTTTATTATCATGATTATTGTTATATCATTATGAATAAAATCGTCACTATCAATATCATTATCATCATTATCAGTATCATCATGGTTATTATTATTATAATTATTGCTATTATCATTATCGTCATCATTATTATCATTATCATTATCATTATTGTTGCTGTTCTCATTATTTTCATTATCATATTATCAATACTATCATTAACATTATTGTTATTATTGTTATTATAATTGTCATCATTATTATTACTATCATTATCCTTATCATTATTATTATTATCATCATCATCATCACCATCATTATCATTATCATAGTTATTATTATCTATGTTTTTATCATCATTAGCATTATTGTTATTATCAGTGTTATCATCATTATTACTATTATCATTATTATTATTATTGTCATTTTTATTATCATAATGTTAGCAATGACTATTATCATTATCATTATTATTATAATAATCATTTTTATTGTTATCATTATTATTTTTGTTATCATTACTACTATCATTGTGTTGTTATTATCATTATCATTATCATTTCTACTATTGTCATTATTATAATTATTACCATTATTATTTTCATCATTATTTTTATATTATTTATTATTGTCTTAATAATTTTCATTATCAATATCATCATTAGTATTGTTATTATGATAGTCATTACTATCATCATTACTGTTATTGTTATTGCTATTATAATTAATGTTATTATCATTATTATCATTATCATTATTGTTATCATTATTGGAAACATTACTGTTATTATTTTTATTATCATGATCATCATTATTACTGTCACCATGCTTATTATCATTATCAATATCATCATCACCATCATTATTAGTTATCATTTTATTATCGTCATTAAAATTTTATCATCATTATCGTCATCATTATCATCATTATTGTAATCATAATTATCACTATCATTATTATCATCATTATCATTATTATTACTATGATCATTTTTATAATTATCAACATGTATGTTATTATCATCACTAACACTATCATTATCATTACTTTCACTATCATTATTTTGACTATTATCATCATCACTATTGCCCTGATTGATAACAAAAGATAATAACAATGATAAGAACAATAACTAATAACAATAATGCAGACTATTAATACCAAATAAAACAAATAAATAAATAACTTTTAAGAAATATCAATAATTTACTAAAAGATAGAAAACTTACATTATTTATTGCTGGTGTCGAAAGCAGTTGAAAGAAGAAAACCCAAAATTTGATTTAATTTTCAATCTTGGTTTTCAGTTCTTTTTTCAGTAGCAGTTTTGTTTTCTTGTTTGTTTGTTTGTTTGTTTGTTTGTTTGTTTTTCTCTATTTTCTTTCTTTTTTATCGTTATTTCTGTCGATTCTGTTCTTGTTATTGTTTATTTGTTTGTTTTTCTCTATTTTTTCTTTTTTTATCTTTATTTCTGTTTATTCTGTTCTTGTTATTGTTTATTTGTTTGTTTTTCTCTATTTTTTCTTTTTTTATCTTTATTTTTGTTGATTCTGTTTTTAATATTGTTTATTTGTTTGTTTTCCTCTATTTTTTCTTTATTTCTGTTGATTTTGTTCTTGTTATTTTTCAATTGTTTGTTTTCCTCTATTTTTTTCTTTCTTTTTTTCTGTTGATTCTGTTGTTATTATTGTTTATTTGTTTGTTTTTCTCTATTTTTTTCTTTTTTATCTTTATTTCTCT